ATCATCCCACTCTAATGGCTTACATATTATCTGGACACAGACAAAGTGCAGATTTATGTCACCAGTTAGGACCCTCCACTAACCTTCAACCACATGCATTCAACAGCCTACTCAATCTCTCCAGCTGGGTGTTCAATAGGTATCTCAAACTTAGCATTTGAAACACTGAACTCTTGATTTTCCCTTTCCAAATTTTTCCCATATCAGCTAAAAGTAAGTAAGTTCATTCTTCTAGTGGCAAAGCCAAAATTACAGAATCACTCCTACAGGTTTACTTATCATACTCTATATCCAGTACATTAACAAAAACAAATACCAATCCTTTGACTCTGTCTTGAAAAGGTAACTAGGAAACTGGGACCATAGATCACCATGAATCTAACCATAAATCTACCATGAATCTAACTTGTTAGACTCAATGGCTCCCAGAAATGAGTGTCCGTGTCCGTCCGTCCTCCCCCTTATAGGGTCATTCTCTGACTGACCATAGTGTCATTCTCTGACCATAGCCCATAGCTTTGTAAGATTCATGTGGGATTCTGCATTCTTAAGTGATGTCACCTACCATCTAGCATTCTTAAGATTCTCAAGTGATGTCACCAAGTGATGTCACCTACCATCTAGCAAGTAGTTGTAGCTTTTAATTATTTCCCTAAGGCTTCCCGGGCTGGGCGGGAGGGGAGAGGGAGGTGGGGCGGGAGGGGAGAGGGAGGAGGGGCGGGAGGGGAGAGGGAGTTAACTTTAACTGACACGGCAAAGTAGAGCAGCAGGCACACACACACAGGAGCACTCTTCTGCTGCACCATACGCGGGTCAGCTCCCACGCAGGGGATCGAACTCAGGCCTCAGCAGTGAGAGCTCTGAGACTAACCCCTAAGCCATCAGGGAGGCCCTAACACCAGCTTGGTCAAAATGTGGTCTTAACTACTTAAAGAGGCTCCAGGAGAACTGCTCACAGCTGGTCCCTCCAAGTCAGGAGGAGACTATTGCTGTCCTCCCTTCCCACCTCCCCCCTAGAGCCTTGGGTGCTGAGGGAAGATGACTTTCTGTGGCACCGCACCACCATGTTCTCATCTATGACACGAGGTGGGCAGAAGTATGGGGATTCTCCAGTTCCAAAACACAAGTATTTTTCTCATCAGTGAGTCAGAGGTACAACCCACACACGTCAGAAAGTAATCAAAAATAGTACTGATCCTGAAAAGGTCTTTTGTGATGACCATGTGTAAAATCAGTCTTTAGAAGTTTCTAAGCCAGAGACTTGAGTCTGCAGAGCTGGATGTCCTTATAGAATAAAGCTCGCTGTGTTGTTGCACCACAGACTTTAAGCAAACTTCTACCCTCGCAGCCTTGGCACTCTGCCTAGATTACCATCCCCCCAGATATTGAGAATGTTCGCTTCCCTGATTCTCTTTGAGTCTCTTCTTAAACATCACTTTACTATAGAGAGCTGCTTCGAATATCTTATATAAAAAGCAATGCTCCTTCCTACCCTGAGCCCTTTACCTTGCTCTATTTATTTTTACAATTATCACCAACTCCAGGGCACTGAGTACTGTACATTTTCTGGATTCTTCAATTCCATCTCCCCTTACAGAAACCTATAGTTCCTATTACTTTCAAAGGCTTATATGTCTTACTCAGTGTTCCACCTTCTAAAACACTTCTGAGCACTTGGTAAGGACTCATTGAAACTCTGTTGAATGCACAGAGGGATGGACATAAGTGATATGAAAATGGAGAGAAATTGATGAACTTGAAATTTATCTAGGTGCTAGAATCTCAGATGAAAATGTTTTGTTTGCATTGAGCAACAGAAAGGAGAGGAAGAAGACAAAAAGGGTCTAAGATGTTGTCCACATTTCAGACCCAGAAAATCAAATAAATAGTTTTGTATTCACTGAATTAAAGAAAAGGTGAGAAGACTGGATAAGAACAGGGCAGACAAGGATGAATGCAATTTTGAGAAGTTGAGATTCAGGTTACTGAGAGATATTTAAATGGTAACGAATGTCCCAGCAGTAGCAGATTCTGGAACTATTAACTGGACTCTCATTTTGTGCTCATTTCTGTTAAGTATGATGCTATGTAGGAAGGAGGAAAAAAAATATATGCGATTGAGTTACTTTCTAGAAGGAAGCTAAATCCTTTTATCCTCAGGGAACTGGCAGACCTCCCTCCTCAGCATCCCACCTCTCAGGGAACCTGAGCCCTAAGCCTCCAAGTAACCTCGTTCTTTGAATGCAACCATTTTCCCATCTGAGTATGGGGGTGCATGTTTGCCATTCAGAACCTACTATATTTTACTGCACCTCCTGACATTGTTACACAACATTTATTGAAAGCACATTTGATGGTAATGAAGTTTCTATTAACTATGATTAAATCTCATAAAGCACCTGAAGATAATTTAAGATGTGCAGAAGCAGAAAATGAAACATTCGGTTTAGTACATTAGGAAACGTAATTGATTAAATTATCTCATTTACAATAAGTGCTTTCATGAGCTATGCAGCACACATATTTTCTCTAGTTTGTCATTATGATTTGCCAACTGATATCTAAAGGCTTCACTATCTTGTGACACCTCCCTGAAACTGGAAGCTGGCTCCCTGGCTGCCTCAGAGGAAGGCGGGCGAGGCATGCGGTGGTGCTTCCATTCACCAGGCCTCGCATGTATACAACTATATACAGGAACAGGTTGTTTCTCAATTATCTTCATAATTGACTTTGATTTTGCATCAGCGGTGATTCATGTAGTCTTAAACTAAGCCCCTCTTCTACTGAGCAACCAGAGCTTGCATTTGTATAATGCACTTCTAACCGTGCAGCTTACAGAACCCTGATCGGATTCCTCTGGGAGCCTTTTGCAATCACATTGATTCTGTTAGGGTTTTATTTTTAGGAAATCACAAATTAAAACAGTTTAAGCGATTCCGTTGCAGTATCCAGCAATTAAGCATGGCGTTCAGGAGCGAGAACCCCAAGCAAAAACTAATTCAGGAGTCCCTAAGGACTAGCAATAGCTACTGTGGGGTTTACGGCTGGAAGTACAGATGTAACCAAATTAGAATGGCACAGGACTCACAAACTAAGCGTGAAATTAATTTTTAAAAAACACACCAGTGTTTCTTAGTAACTCTTCCATTGGCCACCCCAGAATCAGCGGACGGCACGGTGTCTATGACTAAGAGAGGCTAAACGCTCACTTATGTTACCTCTCACCCTGAGATCTTGATTCAGGCACAAAGCAAATACTCAGTGACTCTCTTGAATCACCATATCAACCTGCATATACCTACACATCCCTTCTCTCTTCCTATGAATTCAAAATCAAGCATGTTACTTAGGTAGCAGGGTTTTCTTTTAGGTAGCTTAGCACTGTTATCTAAGTACCACTGATTCTTTTCCTTGTGCTCAAAAAGTTTGCTTTTGTTGTTCTGCAAAGTTCTTAGACTGTAAGTAGACATTTTTAGCTCATGCCTGTTGGAAGCAAGCCTGCACATAACACGTATATTGGCTCTTTCTCTTATGTCTCTGACTTTTCTCCCAAGCTAACTATTTCTGCCCTCATAGGATCTTATTTTTTCCAAAGAAAGTGGCCAACAAGAACTTTGACCTCTCCCAAGAACAACTGAGTTGTAGTAACCTAGTATTTAAAAGATCACAAGCCATTAAACTAAAATGGAAGACACAGACCCAGGGACATTTTCCACAAGTTTTACAAACACACCCAGTCAGACAGCTGTCCAAACCTCTTACTGCTTAGAGCTGCAGTTGCTGTACTTTCCATCTTGAGGTTTCCCTTGCACAATTTACATATCTGAGTGCTCGAGAATCATTTGGGGGACATATTTTTTTAATTGAAGTAAGATTGCATTATAACATCACATAAAGTTTCAGGTGTGCATCATTGAGAATCAGTATGTGTATATAAACTACATTAAATTCACAGCTAATTGTTCAATAGGGGAACGCTAAAATGTAGATTTTTTTTTTCCAGAACCATTCCCCTACTCAGGATGCTAAGATGGGGCATATTCTATAAGCACCCACGCTCCAAGAGCCTGATGTTCATGTTCTTTGATCCACCTTTGGAGAAACAATTTTCTAAGTCATTAGTTTTTGACCCGAGTTGCACATTGGAATTAATGGAGAAGTTTTAAATCTAGAGATTCCTATAGGATTGTTTTAGGGTGATGCAAATATTTTATCTAGGCTGTGGAGATGGTTCTAGGACATCGTTGGTGAAAACTTAGCCAACTGTATTATACGCAAGTTAATAATAGATAATGCATGTTACGCTTTGATGAATCTGATATTTTAAAAAGAGCTTTCAACGAGGGATGTCTGGGTTCTAACCTCTCTGCCACTTCCATTCTGATTTCACTGGTGTGGGAACTGAGATTTTTCAAAAGATCTTTGGGTAGTTATAAAGATCAGGTTGAGAACTACAATGTCCAAAGTTGAGCTGCCCATTGTTAAAACTGCCCCCTTTCTCACAACTACTGGATGCATGGAGAAAGCGAAGATGGGTAGAGAGATAAAGCCAGGAAGACGCCAGCATGTTCAGACTGCAGTGGACCTCAGCAGGGAATGCTTGTTCCTGACCTATCCAGTTGCCCTGATTTCACCGTTTCAACAGCTTCCTCCCTCTCCTAGCACACAGCCTGGCTGCTTGCATGAATGTGGGTACTGACAAATAGCTATCAATTTTAACACTATAAATCTCTTCAGAAATAAGAACCCTAGATGGTATTTGCAGAGAAATGGACATATAGGCAGGAAAAATCAAGAAGACAGATTTACTTTTACTTGGACGGAGAGGAGGGGTGTGCATGTGTCATTTGAATTTAAACCTGATATGTGACTCCAAACCCAATGAGGAGAGACCCCAGCCTTTCATAAAAACTTCAATTCTGTTTGGCTCCTAAACAAATACAACAGTAAGGCAGCAAATATGAGAGTAAATGACAGTTGCAAGAGGAAAAATAACTTACTTTGGGGTTTTATCTCATGAAGAGGTTTTTTATCTAAAAGAAAGAAAGAGAAAAAGAAAGTTGCATTTAATAAATTTACATGGAGCAGATACAGTTCCTAAATCACTTCACGTGTACCTCTGGAAGTGAAATGTTTTCTCAGGCGATATGGACTCCACAGTCCATATTCCTCCTTTTCATGCTAATGTTTTTTCTCTTAAAATATTTTTCTATGAGGAGTGCTTCATTCCCCTCCCCCACCTTTTTTTCTTTTCCCTCAGGCTTTTTTTCTTTTCCCAGAGCTTCTGTTGCATTTGCTAGATTCTTATCAGCATGCTGAGGGCAGTGAGCCTATAGCCTGGCTTCTTATATATCTACAGCCAGAAGACTGGGCAGGTAAGAAATGCTATTTCTCTATAGAGGGTAGAAAAAAATGAAGCCCTGAATAAATATTTAAAGTGGCCCTGCCTTGGTTTCTAGTTCTCATGGCGTCAGTAAAAGTTCCAGATGATTCCAAATGTATATCCATTCTTGTCATGTATGGTGGCTGGATCCTGTGTTGGAGGTTTGTAATAAGAACAGATTTGTGAAACAAAATAAGTGCTAGCTATCTGTTAAAATGTATCTCACTGCTCTTTATGAGAAGTTGTCACCTTATTTAAGATTGTATTGAAGTAACACTGCATTAGAACTTAGAAGCTTGAGGTGTGCATTCTCATGAACCGCTGTGTCTACTCCATATTACGTTCACCCTTAAAGCATAGCTTTACCCTTCACCATACAATGGACCCTTTCACTTCACTTACCTATCTCCTCATCCCCTTCCCTTCTGAGAATATCTAGTTGATCTTATAGTTTAAAAATTTATTTTAGTTTTATGTAGCTCAGTAGCTTTATGTGCCACATAAAAATGAAATTATACAATGAATATAGTGTAGAATGTCATTTTTATAATCATAGTATTTAGCAGTGCAGTGGTCAGATAGACATTTTCATCAACTCTGCCTTTGCCCTCCTACGCCGCATCACCAAATCTCATGCAAATCACGATGAGACTTGCCTCCTCTGTCTTAGCCCCAGCCCAGACCAAATCTGACACCATGCTAAGGGTACAGACCCCTTGTCAGGCACAGATGGAACACTGTCAGTGGACAACCACCACGGCTTTGCGTAGGGTTCCAGAATCCCACTCTGGTCGGGGCCCTTGGAAGGTCAAAGTGCAGTCTTTTCTCCCTCTGCCTGAAGGTGAGGCAGCAGGGGTGAGACACTTTCCTTTTGGATTGTTGTTAACTGAATCAAATCTAGCCCAGCGCATGTGTGGGGACTTCATATATAGGACTGCTTGCTGCACTGTAATCCCTCCCCAGGTATATTCCTAATACTTCCTAGACCATCTCTTACCTGAACCCTTCTGAACTTGAACTAACTTTGACAGAAAGCCCTTGTAGTTTGCTTTAAATTCAGGTCTTGTGTGATTTACCACCTGATTTTTTTTTTTTTAAAGATTTATTTATTTGTGCATACAGAACTGGGGTACAGAGGTTCAGGGGCGGCAAGAGGCTTCACCAGAGACAGAGCGGGGAGCAGAACAGGCAGATCTACGAAGTACACTGCTGAGGGGAGCAGCTGGTGGGCCAGGAGAGGTCTGCCGCGCCATGTGGTCACCTCCAGGGCAGGCGGGAATCGAACTTATGCGGGAAGTGGCTTTAGCTTCTCAGTGCTGTGCTTTAACCCGCTGCGCCACCAGGGAGGGCCACCACCTGATTTCTTATGTGCCAATCACACCCTGGCAAATGGGTCTTCATTGCTTTTCAATATAAGGGGAATGTTAACTGGCAAAGGGCAATTTCTGGCAAATCTTTCTTAAAGTGGATAATCATCTTAAAAGATTATAATTCGCTCAAGTTGTTATAGTCATATTCTGATTTTTACAGTTTTCTTAAAACAGACACTTGGATTCTCCTTATGGTACAGAATCAGTGCCACTAGCTTCCCTGAGAGCAGGTGGTACTTTCCAAAGTCCAGATGCTAATGCACATAAGAATTAGGTTAAATCCACTAAAGTCATTTTAACTTGAGTTTTTGCTTATGGCAAGCTATCTGAAAGTGTCTGGCATGGGCACAGAGATGCTGGCAAGCCTAGACTAAGGCATCTGAAAGTGATGCATTGCTACAGCTACACAGAGAGACATGCAGAACAGCTGCTTGGAGCTCTGGCTAAGCTGAATGGCATTTTATTCCATCTAATGCCTGGGAACAAAGATTATGCTGGGTAACAAAATGAAACTCCATTAAAAACAGGTGAGCTATAACTTCTCCCCCGAAAAATAAATGTAATCTAGCCAGGATATGAAAATCTCGGGGTGGCAGTTATACTGTGTACAGTTCTGAAGAAAGAAAGAATGGGGCAAAGGTCCTGAGACAAAAGGACACATGGGGTCCCCCTAGTGTCATCTTCGTTGGTTTTGTGGTCTTACTACCAACTTTCAGGGTTAGAGGTGAATTTAGATCTTGAATGGTTTCATCCTATCAGTGTGATGTCCACAGTAAAATAGACAAAGTTAAGAGCCCTTGAAAACTGGTGTTGGGGGATCAATGATAAAGGTGAAACCATGCAGGGAAGGGATAGGCTAGCATGCACTAAGCATCACTAAGGGTAGCTCATCAGTGTTATACTTTGACATGCTATGAAAGTGATAATACTCATTTAGAGTATTTAGAGTAGAAGAAAGACTGTGCCATTGCTGTGGACATGTCATAAAGCCAGCGAATTTCAAGGTACTTGAATGGGAGTTAAGAGACTAATGCCCATTCCTGGTCTCTGCTTTATGGGACCAAGGACAGCTTCTTGGTAATGGAAAAAGTAGGCAGAAACTGGAAGACCTCTTTGGTCTCCTCCGCTCTCGCCCACTATAAATCTACACAAACCTGACTGAAACAACTTCCTACATGCAGAGTAAAGGCTACTCCATGGGCCACTGTTCCACTACATCTTGTTTGTCAGGATGAATCCTCTCATGGAGTGAGGAAAGATTAAGTGTCCTGGAACCAGCAGCAACACTGGCTTTTGTCTAACATGAGTGTCCTGAAGGCAAACACTAGCAGAGCATTTCCCTAGCTTGCCATGTATGATCCGAGATTTTTCTACCATATGCAAGAGAAAGGGCTATCACTAGGCTCACTATCTTTTGCAAGGATATCTTTTGCACTACATTCCATGTTCTTCCATTCTGTTGGAAGGATCATTTTCTCACAAGTCTATGGGTCAAACATCCCTTTGGCTTTGGTCAACCAAATCTTTTTCACTTTTAATTTTACACTGCACGATTGGTCCCTTAGAAAATCGATCCATTATGGCCCTGATTCTTAATGTTGGCTGCAGATTACAATTCCCTGAGGGGTTATAAGAAGATACCAATGCTGGGCACCACTCCAAGTGCTCCTGATGGAGGTATGCATTTTTGTGATTACTGTGGGCACAACCACTTCCTGGCAACAAATCTGGCTCTCTGCCCTCAACTCAGTCTTTGCCTCCCTATGAGACTTTGGGGTGCTTATGGCATCCCGATAGGCCAGTGGTAGCTGTGTTTGGAGAAAAAAAATTGCACCCCTTTCCCAGAATCTGTCTTGCCTCTGAGAGGTAACTTCTGGGGAAATGGAAACTGATAATTATAGCACAGCCTCAGAAGAGCTTTTGTACTTACAAGTTAAAAAGCAAAAGTTTTAACAATGTCTTATGTTTTCCTTTAAAATCATTCTTATTAATTCCAAAGTTATTACACAGTAGCTCCTGAATCCCAAAAATTAACAACACAGAAATACTACTTTTAATGGTGTTCTATATACAAATCTAGGATTGCGCCTGCTCATGATTTTATATATGTAAGACTGTGCGTACACATATGCTTATAGAGCAAAAAGCAGGAAACTCCATGAAATTGATCATTTTAACTTTTTTTTAAAGTTGTATTTTTATATAGTGTTCTTCAATAGTTGCTTTTTGTCTTTGCAAATATTGCTCTGTCTGTATGTGTGTAGTGGTATATATTTACATGACAGAGAAATCTACCTGTCTATTTTTGGTAGTGATTCATTTCCTTTCCACCTTTAATTTTTTTTTTTTTTTTGGCTTTCTTTGTTAACATACTTTTCTGCCCAAGCATTTCCATGATATCCATTGTTCTTACATATTATTTATAGAGGCACCCCTACCCACTCACCTATCCACCCACATTCATCCTTAACCTTTATCTGCCAGGGAACAAATTTGGTCAACTGCAAACAGTCCACAGGCTGGGTTTGAAGAGAGTGGGGCAGTTATTTGACCTGTGGGTTTTGAATACTATGCATAGGTTGAACACCAGGGATGGTTTCTTTTTTGAGACTTAGACATGGAACCACTCAATATGCTGCGAAAGGTACTAGGACCCTAAGCCTAGTCAGCAGCTCTCCTCCCAGGCAGCAACTCAAATATGTCATTAGACTTCATGTTCATCATCCTTTATGCAAAAACTAGTCATTTTCTATATTTCTACCTCCAAAGACAAATATTGTTTCCCTCTTCATTGAGCATATATCCTTTGAAAACATTTTCACCCAGTAAAGAAAGATGTTAGCTCTTTATTTTTATTTACCCTCCACATTCTTTGTAATCCTAAATTACTTCATTGCTGACTCTGAAGTCTCTGGAATAGTCAATTCTCCCTGCTATTTCCTTAGTCACGGAATCAGCACGAAGTAATCTATCATGATTTCCCGTCACCTCCAGTCATGGCCAAGTGCTCTGCCTGTCCTTCTGATCGCCTATTAACTGGTACTACTGCATCAAATATGACTTATTTTTTGCAGCACCTCGACATACATTTACATTCCAGTACAAACCATTAACTCTCCAGGCTCACCTCAGTGCCTTTGTCCGTACCGCTGCCTTTCTTTCAGATGCCTTTCTCCACACAAGCCTCCTACATTAGACTATCCTGTCTCCAAGGCATACCTAATTTTATTCCTTCATCAGATCTTTGGTGAGTACTCTGCAGGGACTGCTCCCTTTTAGG